TAGAGGGAATGAAAACAAGTTATGTACGAAACATCGACCGAAGAATCAGAATGAATTTTTAAAAAATTAGAGAAGCGATCAGCAATCGAAAGTGGACATTTGATTGACTTTGAGAATGTAGACATCGGGAAAAGGTTTTCATTCCCATATTTTAGCAACATCAAATACTATAAACAGAAAAGGAATAGATATGTCAACGACTTGGCAAACAATCCGACAAAATCATCAATGATGACCTTTTCTAATTGAAGCTGTGATAACTGTCAATTATTGACAGCTTATAAACAAAAGTACGTGAAACTGCACATTCTAAAACATACATAAACACACACATACACATTTTCGTTGACAAATGACAATAACGAGTGTTAACTTTTAACAACAAATCCTAATGACTCATGCTGCACAGAAAACCACCTAACCAATGACCTATATTCACTTGGTATTAAATGTATAGTTCCACTATATATTTTGATGTGAATAAAAATCCACATATTCTGCAGAAGCTGTGGCTTACACAGTGAAACGTTCAGAAATACCTTTTTTTGATTTTCTAAACAGGCTGGGAATTTATTAAAACATATTCTCATGATGATTCAACCAAACTTGGCGATCAACTTTTTACACGATGTTTATTATCTTATAGTGAGTAATCAAACAAATATGAAGAGTACACAGTCTGAAATAAATGTTAGCAGCCACATCAAGTGACAGAGGGTAGCTGTTCCGTCCATATTAAGTGTGGCTATGTTATGCTTCGAAAACTGCTGTGTTATTGCTACTAACAATGTTAGCCATCAACGTCTAACAAATTCCTAGTTGACTCCCGACCCGACTAATTAATAGAGAAGATACAATGGACGTGTAAAAACGTGTATCGCGGTCGAAAGACCAAAGACCCAATTCAGGAAAATACGAGTAAATTTAAAGGTCATCATAACAACTGATGAGACAGCCAACTATGTTCCAATCGTATGGAAAAGTACTTCCTCAGGAGAAATACAGAAGCCTGGATGCACATTTAAGTAGTTCTTAGTGTAGCCTTCAGAGTCACTGGGACAAAACATCTAATGTAGAGACAGTTCCCTGTTTAAAAACCTCGCCTGGTTAACTAGTTCACTAGTTACTAGCTGGTCCTAAGCCCGGATAAAGAGGGAAGGTTGGGCATACGGCTAGCAACCCTACCACGGTAAACCAATACAACCGCTACAGAAACTTCAAAGCACAAAGAAAACATAGAGAATAAAAATAAAATTATTCCTCGCTGGAATCGGGGAGACGATATGACGCCAGTTGGTGAAAGCCTGCCTTCAGGAAGCCAATTCACTGATATGTCTTCTCTCCCTCCATGAAAGCAAATGTAAACATGGGAACATGGAATGTCCACACCATGTATGAACCTAGTAAGGCTGTCCAGATTGCAACGAGATGGAAGCTATGACATAGAAGTTCTTGGAAGTTGCAAGGAATCAGCAGATGGAATGGAAGCGTCAACTGCAGAGTCAATAATCTACTCCAATATTGTCACAAAGACGACAACCACAAGCACACTGAGTTTTCAGTGGCTATCATGATGTCCCAAACAGCACCGAAGGTTCTCATGCAGTGGGAACCAGTCTCCTCCTGCAAGGTCACCACAGCAAGATGGATTCAACTCAAAAGGAAGGAAAGTCACAATCATACAATGCTACGCTACACTAAGCACCTTCAAATAATGCAGATGAAGAGAAGAAGGAGGAATTCAAACAGACAACTGCAATCAGTAGTGGACAACACACCACTCCAGTTGGCGACATCAAAATTCGAATGTGTGGTGTGGTGTGACATGAATGCCAAACTGGGAGTAGACAACACAGGAAGAGAACTCATCCATCATCAGTCGAGAAGCACTCGGTGAAATGATGAATCACAATGGAGAACTGTTCACACATTTCTGTGCATTCAATGATTTGGTGATTGGAGACAGTGTGTACAAACACAAGGATATTCACAAGGCAGAGACATGGATTTCACCAGACACCAAGACACACTAAAAATCAGATGGACTTAATGTCAATGTGAAGAAAGTGGAGAGGCAGCCAGCCTACTGGACACAAGATCGGATCAGATGAAGGAGAGGAGTAGATGTAGGTTCACACCACTCACCACTCACAACACTATCTAGTGCAAGGAACCTATCCTCAAAATCAAGTTGAAAGCCTTCAAAGAAGTTGGTGATAGACGACCAGAGTTGAAGTTGAACACCCAGAACACAAACTGAGGACGAAACTACAAACGACATCTTCACGTCAGTCAGCCATAAGGACAAAATGGGAGATATTGAGCAACATCCCTTAAGGAACCTGTGTGGATGAACACTGGGACGCTTGGAAAGCTGTGTGGAAAGAAACCTGCATAACCATATAAGGAAGGAGGAGGAAACAGGATGAGTAATGGATCTCGACGGCCACATGGGAACTGATAGAGGAGGGAGAGCAAGATGGTGATGGTGAAGCAGAAGATGAACCAGTGTAGTGCAATGCAGTGCAGTGCAGTGCAAGGATGAACAACGAAAAGAGGAACTGAACACAACCTATAAAACACTACACTGGACAAAGAAGTGAAGAAGAGTTCTCGCCAAGATGAAAGACACTTCTACAACACATTGGCAAGGGAAGCAGAACAGGCTGCTGGTAGCAGAGACCTGACAACACTGTATCAAATAACCAGGTTACCATCTGGGAGGGAATAGATCAACTCAGACGAACCCAATGAAAGATAGTGTAGGAAACTCAGTTACCGAATAGAGAGGAGAAACAGGAAACATTGGGCTGACCACTTCAACAAACTCTTGAGTCGTCCACCACCACCTGCAACTCGTCCGGAAATACCATCAGCAGCCCAGCCACAGAACTACCAGTGAACACAAGCCCTCCGACAAAAGCAAAAGTGAAGTCCTGAACGCATTAAAGCTGCTGAAATGAGGGGAAGCAGCAGGACCAGATGCACTCCCTCCAGAAGCAATGAAAACAGACACAGAGAAATCAGCAGACATGCTCACACAACTACTGCACAAGGTTTGCAAGGAAGGAAGGACAGACACCTGTCCATTGATTGGAAGAAGGGTTACCTGGTCACACTTCCAAGGAACGCTGACCTAAGTGTTTGCAAGAACTGGAGAGGAACCATGCTCCACCCCTGTCCACCTCAAGCAAAATATTATGCCGCATCATCCTGGAGAGACTAAAGGATGCACTCGATTCAAAATTACAACCGGAAAAGGCTGGCTCGATTCAGGCAGTACAAATCATGTGCCGATCAAATTGCAACGCTACGCTACACATGATCATGGAACAGAGTATACAATAGCAGTCAACCCTCTACCTCAACTTCATCGACCTTGAAAAGGCCTTCAACATCGTCGACAGAGAAGTAATTTTACAGCTGCTTCAACACTACGGAGTACCACAAACGCTCATCAACCTCATTCAACAGCTGTGTGAAGATGCCACGTGCGAAGCGATTCACAATGGAAAGCTGAGCAACGCCTTTGAAGTGAAGATAGAAAGGAGTAATACAAGGTTGCCGCCTACTATCACTCATCATCATTCTGACTGTGCTCCACTGGATCATGCAGCAAACAGTGAGGAACGAGAAGACGGGCATACGCTGTTTGACAGATGAAAAGACCTCAGAAGAAGATTTCGATTTTGCCCATGATGATTTATGCGTAATGTCGCACAAACTCGAGGATCGACAGGCAAAAACCAACAAATTGACAGAAGAGCCGGAGCACCGAGAACAGGACTTCAAGTGAACGTAGAGAAGACAGAGGTGATGAACATGCCCAACCAATAACAGCATCAACAACAAGCACCAACCACCATTAACGGGTGAAGCCCGGGGGAAGTAGTCTCTTCCACCTACACCTACCTAGGCAGCATCATTTGCACTACAGGCGGTGGCACAGATGGATATGCCATAACCAGCATCGGAAAAGCAAGACAGGCGTTCATCAATCTGAAACCAGTGTAGAGATCTACTCCACTCAACATAAAGTGTGAACAACATCCGGATTTTCAACACTGACGTCAATCAAAGTAGGTCAGTGCTTCCATATGATGGTTCACAAACTTGGCGCGTTGCGAAAAGCATTTCCAACAAACTACCGACACACATCACATCAACAGCTGCTGCCTACGCTCACTTGATACTAACACTGAAGATCAGATGGCCAGAATAATAAGAACAAGCAACAAGGAGCTCTGGGAACCAACCAACCAAGAACAAACATATCACCCAACAAATATGCAGAAGAAAGTGCAGATGGATTGTATTGGGCATACACTGAGGAGGCCGATTGTGGACATCACGCAACAGTCCCTCGAGTGGAAGCCAGAGGGGAAATGACGAGTTGGGTGTCGGAGGCGAGGGTGACATGGAGGAGATGGTGTGAGGAGGAGGTGAAAGCTTGTGAGCAGTGGTGTAGCCAGTTTGAAAAGGCTGCAGAGAAGAGAGTGCAATGGAGACGCGCTGCTGAAGCCCTATTGTAGCACTAGGAACCCAAGGGACAAATAATGATTATTTTATTTGCTGTTTTAAATACTCCATTGATTGGTTGATCTGCTGTCTGTCTGTCGAACTATATAGCTGATGACATAAAGTACATTTGATTGGTCCGTCTCACTACTTGGTTTTCTCTCTCCCATATCAGACTACTCATCTAGCAACAGTTGTACTTTTCGAGTGACTTCATAGGCCACCCTAACAACAACTGAAATGCCCAATTAAACTTCTTTATTCCAAATAAATTAGCCTTCCGACTGAAATAGAGATACTTAATTGGTTATTTCGATCGTTGCTTGAATGGCTTTTAAAGTTGTCGGGTTTAACAGATTAAACTAAGACTAGAGTTTTAACTTAACCAGCATGTTAGCAATATTTGAAAAAACGAGACATGCGGTCTATCGATCCAGTCAACAATAAGTTAACTCCGATGTCAAAAATATAGTAGTGGACAGCACAAAAACAACAATACCAAGGATTATGACCATACATTTTATTATCAGTACAAAACGAAAAAAGGTTTCGAGCGAAAAAGAAAGCAAAACAACAACTAACACTTCAAAAAGTAAAAAAGCGGCATTGTGCCCATTCTCTTTTTTTTGTGTATGTGTGCATCATGCGTGCGCACGCTCCTTTCTGTATATACGCAGGGAAATCACAACGAAAATATTGGGAACAGAAAGAATGAGCAAACAAATAGAATTAATCGTAAGTCATATGCAAATGATTCAGTTAATTTAAATATATTCTAATATTAAGTATTGATATTTGTAGCAGCCGTAGTAGTGATAATTTCAGTAGCAGTAAGAATTGTCACCCCATTGGTTCAGATTTTCGTATACATGTATATTGTATTCCAGTGTTTTGCATACTTATGTACGCTATACATAAAGAATAAGTTTTCATAAACACTGGTGGAATGCATTGAATTTCATATTTTATCATATATGAACAAAATGAAAGTATATTTATTAGTTTGTAGTAAAGTTTAATGTCTGTCTTATCGATTGCATCGTGTATCATCATTCGGTGAAACAGTTCTTGATGAAGTTTCTTGATATTCTTCCCATATTTGAGTTTCACTTGCCCATGAACGTTCATTTGATTCATGTTGTATTTGTAAACGTGATGGAATTATTGTACAATCTCTATAGGACTGTTGTGTATCAACACGTGTACATGATGCACTTTTACTATGACCAGCCATAACATTGATTGGATAGAAGAGATTAGATGAAGTCATATCACTAATTGGATAAACTTCTTCTGATCTAGTTCTTGGTATATAATAATCATCATGATGATATTTTTGTTCAGTATCATCTCTTTCATCATAATTTAACGATTGATGAGATGGAGCTAACAGATTAACTTGCGTTGATAGTAAAAGTGATCCTGGCTCTTTGTTTGGCATACCTGAGGTTGTTATATACCGTCTTGGTTCTGATTCTTCAGTAAATCTTAGCCAACCAGCTTGTTTAGCTGTTAAAAAGCTACACCATCTTGTTGGAATAAAATCTTCTGATGATAAATTTCCTGTAGTATCAGTACTGCGTAGAATTGGTCTAGCTGGCCAATCAGCAGCGACGTCACCATTCTCCCAATTTAATAAACCTAAACGTACAGCTTCTAATGGACCTAACCAAGGAGATGGTTCACCGCCAGGACAAACATGTGTTAACTGATAAACTTTACAACTGGCTGGTTCATCTAATTCATCCTCCATAGATTCTGTTGTAGGAGTTGATGGCTCTAGTTGTATTATCTGTCGACCAGCACCTTCTTCGATAGTAATCCATGTATTGGTTGAACTGTCTAATAAGCGTATTTCATCTTCAGTTGTCTCGAGTATACCATTCCGTATTGCTGCATTAGGTGATAACACTTCACCTGTTGCTGTATCAACAACACTAGTTAGATAAGCTTTACACCAACTGAAGTAGACCCTTTCAATTAATAATAATACGGGTGTATTTGTGATAATATTTCTATCATAACTGCCTGAGGAACTTGTCAGCCGGATACGTCCTTGTTGATAGGCTGTTTCTAATGGGATAGCAACACCAGTCATAGGGTCCACATACTCATTCACTTCACCAAGTCGTATCCATCCTCTTCTTATTGCCATTGCAACGGGTGCAAATAATCCTGTTCTTGGACTGGCTACTTCACGTATGTTATTCCAGTGCATACTGGATGTTGAATATTGTGATTCAAATAGTTCATATTGTAGTGTCCTTTGTCGTAGTTGCACTAAAATCTTAGACCTGTATAATGAAATAATACAGAACATATGGTGAGAAAATACATTAAAACACCACTCAGTAATTTAGACGTTTAAGATAGGTTTCTGTGTCAGACGTTGTGGCCAGGGTTATTTGATTAACGAGAATTAACTATAAGAATCTGGTTTATCAGTAATACTTGTCAGTGTGTTGAGTAGACTTGCCTGATAATTCAGTCATGTGGCACCATAGTGACTGGGAGCAGTGTTACTCACTATCATAATCAGACATACATTATCGAAGAGCCATTTGCACCAAGACTAAACTCGTTTAGAACTAAATAACATGCACTAATTGTTCGCTTAACAGCCACCAATGTTATGTGGTCTAGTCGTAAGCACTAATCGATATGTGTCAGTTTCTATCCTTACCGAAAACCCAAATTGGTAGTCATATTAGAACTAGTATCATGTAAACTACTGTTTCTGTACTGTACCATTTCAATTAATGAAAATTTAACTGACAATCAGAGTTGTATTGTTTTATTCATTGAGTGTTTTTACTTAACTACTGTAATAGATAAAAGTCTATAATAACCCGAGTTGCTTAAAATGACATCGAAGTGAATGTAGTTTAACGGACTTTAATAGGACGAAATGCGCATCCTGGATTCCACTGCTAGCCATTATCCATCTTTACTATAATTAGAACACAGGTAATATCGAGGTATCCGCACAGGAGCCCATATGCCAATAGAGACCGATCAATTTGGTTCAGTCAACGACGGTATAATATAAACAATTATACTTAATGTAGTTTAGTTCGTCAATATTATTTAACGGCTCAGTAATTAATTCCCTAAAACCATATTTCTTACTTTAAGAGCTCACACAAAGAATAATTTCAAGTATAGGGGTCAAATATGCCACTGTTTATGCCTATCGGGAACAGGACTTACAATGAACCTCTATACAACTTAGAAATAAACTGTGAATCATCAGGCTACTAAACCAGTGCTCTACTCCTGAGTACATATTTTGAGTCCAACTGATATTTTTGTGAAACTGCTCTCTCTTGAGAACGATTTGAGTATAGTAGACACATTTTTAATTACATAGTCACACTTTATATAGCAGTAAACAATTTACAAATATTCATGTCTTTTCGTGGAATTTTTTAAATCCAATCCAGTTATTTGAAGAAATGAATTTCACATTTAGTAGGTAAAATGCACAGAATTGTTGCATATCTTCACCGTAACCAGTTTTGGAGACTATAAGCTTTACGCTTACCTGAGTGAGCAAATTGAAATGCAATACTTCCCTCTAATACTACTGTCTAATGTTTACAGTACATAACAGATAGGCTAGAATAGGAAAAGGCAGACCATTAGTCCGTATGCATTGTCTCAATTTGTTGTATCTGCATGCATAAAGAATAAGAGCAATAAATAATAAACCATGAGTGTCCTTAACGTGACTATCTTTTGTTCTCATACGCTGACATCTTGATTGGTCGTCTATGCTTTTGAGGCTTTGTACATTCTTCATATATTTTACTCAATACAATTTTTATGCATTTTGTGGTCTAGGAATATAATCTAATCTTCCTGAGTCAGCTGCTGTGATGCCAATGGCAATAAGATCAACCAGTACATAGCAACTTAGCACAATAACAATATATACGACCAGTGTTTGGCATTTTCTCAATTTGTCAATCACAATGCCAAACAGAAAGCCTAAAGCAACGTTAATACCAGTGACAAAAACCATTCTGTCAGATCACGGATAAAACACAATTTCAACTTGTTCATTGCCCCGCCTGAAGATGAGGATGAGGATGAGGATGAATACTTTTATAGTGTTAAGTGAAAACAAGATCGACTTTATAGGCCATCCTAACAGTTACTTAAATAATCAATCAAATATCTATATTTTGGCTGGATGGATAATTTCTTAAAAAACAATGTAACCTAATTGGTCACTTCAGGAGTTATTAGGGCTGCCATCAAAGTCACTTGAGAACGACCTATTTATACAGTGTTGCCTAGTTTTCGATGTATTTCGAGTTGATTTCGCGTGTCTTTAAAAGTCGTCCTAGCAAAGACTGACGTAACCTAATGGGTTTCTTTATTTCAGGTTGGTATTTTATCATGAAATGACATCAGTTGGAGAAACACTGGAAACCTTAGAGTACTGGATGGGTGTTTAGTCGTAGTATGGGATTCCTCAGTAGAGCGCACTCATGACCCTACCGGGGAGTGAATCAAAGATCTTTAGGTTCTGTGACCAGCACTTTGCCACTGAGCCACTGGGTTGGAATCCACTGATCTACATTTCCTACTTCTGTCAGTTCACGATACATTTCAACCTCTATCCAACGCCTGATATCCGGTGGGGCCAACCAAGTCGGATATGAGGACAGATATTCAACGACGGTATTGGATGGAGGTCACGCTATATCGTGAACTGACAGAAGGAGGAAATCGGAAAGACATATATATATATATATATATATATATATATATATATATATATATATTGCGGGAGAGAGAGAACCCATAGTCACTAAAGAAAACATGTTTCAACAATACAGTCCTTTACTTTCATAAAATTATGCTTATTGGGTAGGTGGACCCAAATGTACTGTATGGTGGCATTCATAGCTGGGAATTACAGTCATCACACAGCCGCTTATGTATGTAAGCTATATCAGAGTTTAATTAGAGTTGGTTATTTCATTTTCAAGTTTTTCGTCTATATGTATGACTGACAGTTAATATCAGTACAGTAGTATTTCATTCTATTAGTGTGTATAAGGAAATCGGACTGAGTAAAAACCTCACTAATCCAGCTAGAATGATCGACACTGCTTCTGAAACATTATTTTTTTTTGTATTTTTAAGATCAGGACTTTTTTGTATGCAGGAGTAAAACATAATCTAAAAAAACTTTCATTGCTTACATGTGGCGAACTTCCTCAGTAAGCATTCCGACTGTCTCGACAACGTCATCAGATTCTCGTTGGAATGGTTCTGATAATTTATGAAAAGATATAGACTCTGTTGTCCACTCCTTATGGAGTCTCTCCTCCAGATTCGATTCAATTGGAATTACTTGTGTACCTGTACTGACAAGCACTTTCTCTGGAGAATCAAATGGAAATCTTGAGTAAATATTTGTATGTTGGGATTTAGATTTTAAGATGGAAGTGTCTTCACTTATATGACCATCAGATCCAAGGAATTTAATGCCTGTTTTGATTACTTCACGCAAATCTGCATCAGCCCATTCTAAATCTCTTGAAGAAATTATACTGGCCAAACGAATGACTGGTGTTTGAACACCTTCAGTAACTACTAGTTTTTGAATATCCACGTGTGTGATCATTGCTGGATGGGTTTCCCTAGGTTCAATAAAGTATTGTTGATCGTAGCACGAGTCCGTTTGTACACCCAATTCACAGACAATCATATCATCTTCTTCTGCAAACTCCTCAGTAATTTTTATCTGACTATACACCTTTTTACTCTTTTTCTCAGTTATTTCCAGAAAACGTTCTTCAATTATGTCGATAGGTTCAGTTACATGTCCCAGTTGTGAGTCTCCATACGAATCTTGTTCGACTTGAGTCCATGCTTCTGCAATTTCATCTTTTATTAGCTTTCTGTGATAACTTTCGAAAATATTTTCATTTAACTTTTCATGTCTTTCATTCTGTATACCAAATCCATAGTATTCTGTCTGTGAAGCCGTTGGTATGTGTGTTGGGCAGAACTGACACTGAACTTCGCAAATTTGCCCTAGTCTTGACCGTATCAAATATGCTTCATAGGTATAACTTGATCCACTAAGCGGGGATTCAGACCTTGATATTTCGGAATCAGAAGGTGAAGTGTGTGAGTGTGAATCAAATGCAATCTGAATACCCACATCCGCTGCAGCAACTGGCTCTTCTATGGCCATGGAAGCTTGTTCACGAACTGAACCATACTCCCGGCGGCTTTGATAATTTTCATAAACAGAATGTGTTGGCTGACATTTTTCCCAAACTTCCGTTACACTTCCTTCTTGAAGCAGACGCTTAACATATTCAGAATAAAGTGTTGTAGTTGTAGCTGTTAAGCTTTGATCACTATCATTATGTCCACTTGATTCCTCCACTATGATGTCCTCATTTTCTTTAACATTTTCAATACAGTAATCGGTAGATAGTTCTTTTAGATAGAAATCTCTTGTATGTCCTCTATAGGCTGTGCTCAGTAGATTAACTTGAACTTCTGCATCAGAAAGAAGTGTACTGCTACGGGGTGCAGAATAGTAGTACCGTTCAATGAGACGCTCTCGTATATCGGTGGAACGTATGTTTTGTAGCAAAACTGCAACTTGAGGCTCTGTATCGTCAGTCATTGTTTCAGCGTTTTGGTTATGGACTTTAGGTTTCTGAATTTCTTCTAAACATAAAGGTTGAGTTTGACAACCTACATTTTCTTGAAGAGGCTCATATATATATTGAACAGCAAAATTTTTCCTATTAATAGTAGAATAAGTGACTGTTTGACTGATGGACGCAGGACCGTAATATTCTTTATGAGACTCAGACCTCTGAATGTACTGTTCCTCAGTCTGAACAGCACTACTGATTAGACTGCGATGCAGCACCTTCAAATTATCATCAACAAGCTCCCACTCTAGATCTCCAGAGTCAAGAGGAACGTCATCTTCTGGAGCTGGCTGAGTGGCACCTTCCTGCTCATAACAATGATATCCAGACGAATCGCACAAAAGTCGAGATAAGTGAGAACGTGTGACGAAATCAGAATCAGAGGCAACCATGCTTGAATTAGCAGACGGACTCTGGCACCATGCATCCACAATTATTTTCGTATCAGTTTCAACTGAAGCGGAGAATGAAGTGACTTTATCACACTGGACGGAGACACTTCGTACAGGAGCAAAAACATAATCCCCATCATACAAAAACGATGAAGAAGAACTAACAAAACAAGGCAAAGAATAATATCGACCAGATTCAGCACCAATCAAACAACTAACAACATCGGATTTCACATAAGACGGCACCACGTCTAGATTAGGCTGAAAAGTCTCGCAGGCGGTCTGTTCGGTCTTCACATACCGATGGCCACAGCTGGTACACAGACTCGGCTCTGCTGGTCTCGATTCTAACTTGTGCGTGGTCAGGCTGACGACGGGTGTGCTTGCTCTGCCCACTTGCACTTCAGCATTCACACTGGGTCTCTTCACGAATGATGCGACGGAATCGAGCACACTTTCGGGTGACTTCATCGACACACCGGTCGCACTGTCCACAACACACACTCCTTCCGTCGTCGTCTGCACACAGGCTTCCAACGTTTGACTCGGTTTCGGGGGTTCTGGAACCGAAACAACTGGCTTCTCGACTTTCACTGGTGCGTGCAACTCACTCTGCGAATCCACCATACACAATCGGGCAGGTTTCGCCTGTAACGTGGCGTCGGTGCGTTTCAACGACAAATGACCGTCACTGTCGAGGAGAGATTTGTACAGGTTGGTTTGTTCACCCACTTCGGATGAGGCGACTGGCACTGTGTCGATTTGCTTGTCGACGGTGGTGTGTTTCACGAATTGTGTGGCTTCGACGAGTGGTGTTGGGCGAACTGGCTGAGGTTTGGGCGATTCTGATGCGACGGTCTCGGTGACGAGAGGGGCTTTGACGTGACGACTGGGCTTCTGAACAATCACATGTTCACTGGATTCCACGACGTGTGCAGTCACGGAGGTGGTCTGTGTGGTGGTGTCAGTCAGACGGCGTGGTGGCGGCTGTTTGACTGGCGACTCTGCGTAGGAGGCGCTGACTGACATCATGTGTTCAGGTTTCACGGTCTTGATCTCTTTCTGCTCTAGACTGGCCACGACTGGTCGTTCGGGTTGGGTGACCTGCACGGCTCTCTCGGCCACTGCTACTGCTTCTGTCAAGGTGTGGCTGGTGGTCTGTTTCACCTGGTAGCTGGAGCTCATGACACGAGTGGGGACAGAAGTGCCGAACTGCATGCCGACGTCATGTTTGACGGGTTGATCGACCTTCGTGTGAAGGGACAGTTCTGAATCCACGTATGTTGATGTAGGCATTGCCGGCTTCTTAGGAGAGACCACAGGGGCGGCGAACTGACTTGTGGCCTGACATATACTCGGGAATTTGCTGGTCTGTAGAGCGACACTCGACGTTTTGATGGTCACAGGAACCGGTTCTATCTGAGGCTGGACGGTCTGGCAGGCGGTCTGTTCGGTCTTCACATACCGATGGCCACAGCTGGTACACAGACTCGGCTCTGCTGGTCTCGATTCTAACTTGTGCGTGGTCAGGCTGACGACGGGTGTGCTTGCTCTGCCCACTTGCACTTCAGCATTCACACTGGGTCTCTTCACGAATGATGCGACGGAATCGAGCACACTTTCGGGTGACTTCATCGACACACCGGTCGCACTGTCCACAACACACACTCCTTCCGTCGTCGTCTGCACACAGGCTTCCAACGTTTGACTCGGTTTCGGGGGTTCTGGAACCGAAACAACTGGCTTCTCGACTTTCACTGGTGCGTGCAACTCACTCTGCGAATCCACCATACACAATCGGGCAGGTTTCGCCTGTAACGTGGCGTCGGTGCGTTTCAACGACAAATGACCGTCACTGTCGAGGAGAGATTTGTACAGGTTGGTTTGTTCACCCACTTCGGATGAGGCGACTGGCACTGTGTCGATTTGCTTGTCGACGGTGGTGTGTTTCACGAATTGTGTGGCTTCGACGAGTGGTGTTGGGCGAACTGGCTGAGGTTTGGGCGATTCTGATGCGACGGTCTCGGTGACGAGAGGGGCTTTGACGTGACGACTGGGCTTCTGAACAATCACATGCTCACTGGATTCCACGACGTGTGCAGTCACGGAGGTGGTCTGTGTGGTGGTGTCAGTCAGACGGCGTGGTGGCGGCTGTTTGACTGGCGACTCTGCGTAGGAGGCGCTGACTGACATCATGTGTTCAGGTTTCACGGTCTTGATCTCTTTCTGCTCTAGACTGGCCACGACTGGTCGTTCGGGTTGGGTGACCTGCACGGCTCTCTCGGCCACTGCTACTGCTTCTGTCAAGGTGTGGCTGGTGGTCTGTTTCACCTGGTAGCTGGAGCTCATGACACGAGTGGGGACAGAAGTGCCGAACTGCATGCCGACGTCATGTTTGACGGGTTGATCGACCTTCGTGTGAAGGGACAGTTCTGAATCCACGTATGTTGATGTAGGCATTGCCGGCTTCTTAGGAGAGACCACAGGGGCGGCGAACTGACTTGTGGCCTGACATATACTCGGGAATTTGCTGGTCTGTAGAGCGACACTCGACGTTTTGATGGTCACAGGAACCGGTTCTATCTGAGGCTGGACGGTCTGGCAGGCGGTCTGTTCGGTCTTCACATACCGATGGCCACAGCTGGTACACAGACTCGGCTCTGCTGGTCTCGATTCTAACTTGTGCGTGGTCAGGCTGACGACGGGTGTGCTTGCTCTGCCCACTTGCACTTCAGCATTCACACTGGGTCTCTTCACGAATGATGCGACGGAATCGAGCACACTTTCGGGTGACTTCATCGACACACCGGTCGCACTGTCCACAACACACACTCCTTCCGTCGTCGTCTGCACACAGGCTTCCAACGTTTGACTCGGTTTCGGGGGTTCTGGAACCGAAACAACTGGCTTCTCGACTTTCACTGGTGCGTGCAACTCACTCTGCGAATCCACCATACACAATCGGGCAGGTTTCGCCTGTAACGTGGCGTCGGTGCGTTTCAACGACAAATGACCGTCACTGTCGAGGAGAGATTTGTACAGGTTGGTTTGTTCACCCACTTCGGATGAGGCGACTGGCACTGTGTCGATTTGCTTGTCGACGGTGGTGTGTTTCACGAATTGTGTGGCTTCGACGAGTGGTGTTGGGCGAACTGGCTGAGGTTTGGGCGATTCTGATGCGACGGTCTCGGTGACGAGAGGGGCTTTGACGTGACGACTGGGCTTCTGAACAATCACATGTTCACTGGATTCCACGACGTGTGCAGTCACGGAGGTGGTCTGTGTGGTGGTGTCAGTCAGACGGCGTGGTGGCGGCTGTTTGACTGGCGACTCTGCGTAGGAGGCGCTGACTGACATCATGTGTTCAGGTTTCACGGTCTTGATCTCTTTCTGCTCTAGACTGGCCACGACTGGTCGTTCGGGTTGGGTGACCTGCACGGCTCTCTCGGCCACTGCTACTGCTTCTGTCAAGGTGTGGCTGGTGGTCTGTTTCACCTGGTAGCTGGAGCTCATGACACGAGTGGGGACAGAAGTGCCGAACTGCATGCCGACGTCATGTTTGACGGGTTGATCGACCTTCGTGTGAAGGGACAGTTCTGAATCCACGTATGTTGATGTAGGCATTGCCGGCTTCTTAGGAGAGACCACAGGGGCGGCGAACTGACTTGTGGCCTGACATATACTCGGGAATTTGCTGGTCTGTAGAGCGACACTCGACGTTTTGATGGTCACAGGAACCGGTTCTATCTGAGGCTGGACGGTCTGGCAGGCGGTCTGTTCGGTCTTCACATACCGATGGCCACAGCTGGTACACAGACTCGGCTCTGCTGGTCTCGATTCTAACTTGTGCGTGGTCAGGCTGACGACGGGTGTGCTTGCTCTGCCCACTTGCACTTCAGCATTCACACTGGGTCTCTTCACGAATGATGCGACGGAATCGAGCACACTTTCGGGTGACTTCATCGACACACCGGTCGCACTGTCCACAACACACACTCCTTCCGTCGTCGTCTGCACACAGGCTTCCAACGTTTGACTCGGTTTCGGGGGTTCTGGAACCGAAACAACTGGCTTCTCGACTTTCACTGGTGCGTGCAACTCACTCTGCGAATCCACCATACACAATCGGGCAGGTTTCGCCTGTAACGTGGCGTCGGTGCGTTTCAACGACAAATGACCGTCACTGTCGAGGAGAGATTTGTACAGGTTGGTTTGTTCACCCACTTCGGATGAGGCGACTGGCACTGTGTCGATTTGCTTGTCGACGGTGGTGTGTTTCACGAATTGTGTGGCTTCGACGAGTGGTGTTGGGCGAACTGGCTGAGGTTTGGGCGATTCTGATGCGACGGTCTCGGTGACGAGAGGGGCTTTGACGTGACGACTGGGCTTCTGAACAATCACATGCTCACTGGATTCCACGACGTGTGCAGTCACGGAGGTGGTCTGTGTGGTGGTGTCAGTCAGACGGCGTGGTGGCGGCTGTTTGACTGGCGACTCTGCGTAGGAGGCGCTGACTGACATCATGTGTTCAGGTTTCACGGTCTTGATCTCTTTCTGCTCTAGACTGGCCACGACTGGTCGTTCGGGTTGGGTGACCTGCACGGCTCTCTCGGCCACTGCTACTGCTTCTGTCAAGGTGTGGCTGGTGGTCTGTTTCACCTGGTAGCTGGAGCTCATGACACGAGTGGGAACAGAAGTGCCGAACTGCATGCCGACGTCATGTTTGACGGGTTGATCGACCTTCGTGTGAAGGGACAGTTCTGAATCCACGTATGTTGATGGGGTGGCGTGTTTCATAAGTAGACCACAGGGGCGGCGAACTGACTTGTGGCCTGACATATACTCGGGAATTTGCTGGTCTGTAGAGCGACACTCGACGTTTTGATGGTCACAGGAACCGGTTCTATCTGAGGCTGGACGGTCTGGCAGGCGGTCTGTTCGGTCTTCACATACCGATGGCCACAGCTGGTACACAGACTCGGCTCTGCTGGTCTCGATTCTAACTTGTGCGTGGTCAGGCTGACGACGGGTGTGCTTGCTCTGCCCACTTGCACTTCAGCATTCACACTGGGTCTCTTCACGAATGATGCGACGGAATCGAGCACACTTTCGGGTGACTTCATCGACACACCGGTCGCACTGTCCACAACACACACTCCTTCCGTCGTCGTCTGCACACAGGCTTCCAACGTTTGACTCGGTTTCGGGGGTTCTGGAACCGAAACAACTGGCTTCTCGACTTTCACTGGTGCGTGCAACTCACTCTGCGAATCCACCATACACAATCGGGCAGGTTTCGCCTGTAACGTGGCGTCGGTGCGTTTCAACGACAAATGACCGTCACTGTCGAGGAGAGATTTGTACAGGTTGGTTTGTTCACCCACTTCGGATGAGGCGACTGGCACTGTGTCGATTTGCTTGTCGACGGTGGTGTGTTTCACGAATTGTGTGGCTTCGACGAGTGGTGTTGGGCGAACTGGCTGAGGTTTGGGCGATTCTGATGCGACGGTCTCGGTGACGAGAGGGGCTTTGACGTGACGACTGGGCTTCTGAACAATCACATGCTCACTGGATTCCACGACGTGTGCAGTCACGGAGGTGGACTGTGTGGTGGTGTCAGTCAGACGGCGTGGTGGCGGCTGTTTGACTGGCGACTCTGCGTAGGAGGCGCTGACTGACATCATGTGTTCAGGTTTCACGGTCTTGATCTCTTTCTGCTCTAGACTGGCCACGACTGGTCGTTCGGGTTGGGTGACCTGCACGGCTCTCTCGGCCACTGCTACTGCTTCTGTCAAGGTGTGGCTGGTGGTCTGTTTCACCTGGTAGCTGGAGTTCATGACACGGGTGGCAACACGCATGCCGAACTGCATTCCCACATCATGCGTGACCGCCTTTTCGACCTTAGTGTGACGCGACAGTGTAGACTGGACGTAGGGTGGTGGGGTGGTGTGTTTCATAAGTAGACCACAGGGGCGGCGAACTGACTGGTTGTCTGACAGAGGCTGGAGAACTTGCTTGTCTGAAGGGCGACGCTCGCAATCTTAGGAGCGATGGGAGTCGGTTCGATCTGAGGCTGGACGGTCTGGCAGGCGGTCTGTTCGGTCTTCACATACCGATGGCCACAGCTGGTACACAGACTCGGCTCTGCTGGTCTCGATTCTAACTTGTGCGTGGTCAGGCTGACGACGGGTGTGCTTGCTCTGCCCACTTGCACTTCAGCATTCACACTGGGTCTCTTCACGAATGATGCGACGGAATCGAGCACACTTTCGGGTGACTTCATCGACACACCGGTCGCACTGTCCACAACACACACTCCTTCCGTCGTCGTCTGCACACAGGCTTCCAACGTTTGACTCGGTTTCGGGGGTTCTGGAACCGAAACAACTGGCTTCTCGACTTTCACTGGTGCGTGCAACTCACTCTGCGAATCCACCATACACAATCGGGCAGGTTTCGCCTGTAACGTGGCGTCGGTGCGTTTCAACGACAAATGACCGTCACTGTCGAGGAGAGATTTGTACAGGTTGGTTTGTTCACCCACTTCGGATGAGGCGACTGGCACTGTGTCGATTTGCTTGTCGACGGTGGTGTGTTTCACGAATTGTGTGGCTTCGACGAGTGGTGTTGGGCGAACTGGCTGAGGTTTGGGCGATTCTGATGCGACGGTCTCGGTGACGAGAGGGGCTTTGACGTGACGACTGGGCTTCTGAACAATCACATGCTCACTGGATTCCACGACGTGTGCAGTCACGGAGGTGGTCTGTGTGGTGGTGTCAGTCAGACGGCGTGGTGGCGGCTGTTTGACTGGCGACTCTGCGTAGGAGGCGCTGACTGACATCATGTGTTCAGGTTTCACGGTCTTGATCTCTTTCTGCTCTAGACTGGCCACGACTGGTCGTTCGGGTTGGGTGACCTGCACGGCTCTCTCGGCCACTGCTACTGCTTCTGTCAAGGTGTGGCTGGTGGTCTGTTTCACCTGGTAGCTGGAGTTCATGACACGGGTGGCAACACGCATGCCGAACTGCATTCCCACATCATGCGTGACCGCCTTTTCGACCTTAGTGGACGCTGACAGTGTAGACTGGACGTAGGGTGGTGGGGTGGTGTGTTTCATAAGTTGACTGGTTGTCTGACAGAGGCTGGAGAACTTGCTTGTCTGAAGGGCGACGCTCGCAATCTTAGGAGCGATGGGAGTCGGTTCGATCTGAGGCTGGACGGTCTGGCAGGCGGTCTGTTCGGTCTTCACATACCGATGGCCACAGCTGGTACACAGACTCGGCTCTGCTGGTCTCGATTCTAACTTGTGCGTGGTCAGGCTGACGACGGGTGTGCTTGCTCTGCCCACTTGCACTTCAGCATTCACACTGGGTCTCTTCACGAATGATGCGACGGAATCGAGCACACTTTCGGGTGACTTCATCGACACACCGGTCGCACTGTCCACAACACACACTCCTTCCGTCGTCGTCTGCACACAGGCTTCCAACGTTTGACTCGGTTTCGGGGGTTCTGGAACCGAAACAACTGGCTTCTCGACTTTCACTGGTGCGTGCAACTCACTCTGCGAATCCACCATACACAATCGGGCAGGTTTCGCCTGTAACGTGGCGTCGGTGCGTTTCAACGACAAATGACCGTCACTGTCGAGGAGAGATTTGTACAGGTTGGTTTGTTCACCCACTTCGGATGAGGCGACTGGCACTGTGTCGATTTGCTTGTCGACGGTGGTGTGTTTCACGAATTGTGTGGCTTCGACGAGTGGTGTTGGGCGAACTGGCTGAGGTTTGGGCGATTCTGATGCGACGGTCTCGGTGACGAGAGGGGCTTTGACGTGACGACTGGGCTTCTGAACAATCACATGCTCACTGGATTCCACGACGTGTGCAGTCACGGAGGTGGTCTGTGTGGTGGTGTCAGTCAGACGGCGTGGTGGCGGCTGTTTGACTGGCGACTCTGCGTAGGAGGCGCTGACTGACATCATGTGTTCAGGTTTCACGGTCTTGATCTCTTTCTGCTCTAGACTGGCCACGACTGGTCGTTCGGGTTGGGTGACCTGCACGGCTCTCTCGGCCACTGCTACTGCTTCTGTCAAGGTGTGGCTGGTGGTCTGTTTCACCTGGTAGCTGGAGTTCATGACACGGGTGGCAACACGCATGCCGAACTGCATTCCCACATCATGCGTGACCGCCTTTTCGACCTTAGTGGACGCTGACAGTGTAGACTGGACGTAGGGTGGTGGGGTGGTGTGTTTCATAAGTTGACTGGTTGTCTGACAGAGGCTGGAGAACTTGCTTGTCTGAAGGGCGACGCTCGCAATCTTAGGAGCGATGGGAGTCGGTTCGATCTGAGGCTGGACGGTCTGGCAGGCGGTCTGTTCGGTCTTCACATACCGATGGCCACAGCTGGTACACAGACTCGGCTCTGCTGGTCTCGATTCTAACTTGTGCGTGGTCAGGCTGACGACGGGTGTGCTTGCTCTGCCCACTTGCACTTCAGCATTCACACTGGGTCTCTTCACGAATGATGCGACGGAATCGAGCACACTTTCGGGTGACTTCATCGACACACCGGTCGCACTGTCCACAACACACACTCCTTCCGTCGTCGTCTGCACACAGGCTTCCAACGTTTGACTCGGTTTCGGGGGTTCTGGAACCGAAACAACTGGCTTCTCGACTTTCACTGGTGCGTGCAACTCACTCTGCGAATCCACCATACACAATCGGGCAGGTTTCGCCTGTAACGTGGCGTCGGTGCGTTTCAACGACAAATGACCGTCACTGTCGAGGAGAGATTTGTACAGGTTGGTTTGTTCACCCACTTCGGATGAGGCGACTGGCACTGTGTCGATTTGCTTGTCGACGGTGGTGTGTTTCACGAATTGTGTGGCTTCGACGAGTGGTGTTGGGCGAACTGGCTGAGGTTTGGGCGATTCTGATGCGACGGTCTCGGTGACGAGAGGGGCTTTGACGTGACGACTTGGCTTGTGGGCTTTCACGTGTTGGCTGAATGCTGCGACGATTGAGGTTGTTTTGGTTGCCTGTGTTTTGTTTTCTTGGATTGGTTTTTGTGTTTGTTTTGTGTCGTGGATATTTGTTTTGTCATCTGTCGTAGTTGCCTTCTCTATTTTGTTAATGTGTGTTGCTGTTTCTGTTGTGTATTGATTTTCGCTCGTTATATATATATTCAGTTTGTGGTATATTTGTTCCTTTGATTGTTTGAGGTGTTCTTGCTGTTCAAAGTATTTTACTTGTGAATCTACTATTGCGTTCCTTGATTTTTCACTTGTTTCTTTTGTATGTGTTTGGTTATTGTCTGCGTAATCTGGTTTATCACTGGCTACTTTTTCTTCGTGTGTAATCGAGTCCAATTTTGCGATGGTCGCTTGTGTCTTTTTTTGTTTCACGAAGTTTATCTGCTTGTCGACAAGGTTACGGGTATATCGGTATTGGCAGCCGAAGTCACCTTTTATTTTAATTTCTTCTGTTATTCCTGTTATATTTCTTTCTTTGTCAGTTTCTCTATAGGTGAATTCGTCATCTTTCATTGGATAGGTTTGACTTGACTTGTTTTCCCTCTGTTTGGAATTAAGTTTCGCGGCTTCTTGTTGGATGAGGTGATTGAATTGCTCTTCGGTTATTTCTTTGACGTGCGCAAATTGCTGAACTGCATACATGAAGTCGGTTGGAATGTTATCAGTTTGGGTTTGTATTTCTTTACGGTGTGTTTCAGTTTTTTGTTGGTCCACAGTTTTGAAATTTTATAGTTTGGTATCAGATGCTCTGCAGCACTACACTCTACGCTCTGAAACTTTGGGCGTACTTGAATACTGACATCGTTGCTTTGAAGTTTACTTGTTTTTGACTGAATTGTTCTAGATGATTCTTCAATTTTCTTTAAACTCTTTGCTTCTTCAACGTGCTGCTCTTCTATCCATGTTCTGCGAGTAAACTTTGTTTTTTTCGACATATCATCAACTTGTGTCGATTTCGAAGTTTTCGATGACTCCCTATCATGTTCAGGAATATCTTGTATGCTTGTCTCCTCAGTTGGTGCAACCTCAATATAAACAACTGAATAACGCCCTCCATCTTTGGTATCGATATACTTCCTGCTTTTGTAGGTCATTGGTTTATCTTTTGTGTCAACTGGTGGTTCAAGAGTTAGCAAGATTTGTTTGTTGAATGTGGTTACATAATTCTTATTTTCATCTAAATTACTGTCAGGTCCTCTGTAAAAATCTTGTTTGGAATGAAACTTGTGATAATCTTCAATTTCATCATCTGTTGTACAAGAACTGCTAGTACCAATGCTTTGAATTTCTTCACTTGTGGTACAAGTAGATGCTATTTCTTCATCATATGTGAATATAGACGGTAAAATAAACGTCTTATGAGGAAAACGTAGACTGGTTGAAAATTGAGATGGTTTAGTATACTTTGATTGAGCAATATATGATGTTTCTATTTCATCAACTGATTCGTATGTGCTTTCTGAATTGATATACTCTGAACCTGAACTTGATAACCATTCATCATCAGAACTTGATGATAACGGATAGATATTGAATTGACTTTTATCTTTAGTTTGTTTATTCCATATTCTTAGTTGATTCAGTAAACTATCCAATTTTGTCTTATCCTTTTGAGCTAAGTCACTATAGTCAAAGAGGAAAATGCAAATTATGTTACCAATGTAAATTATCACCTTAAAATAGCTTGTCAAGCTTTTAAATATTCCTCAGTTTAATCAAAACATACTGCTTATGGCAGTGATATTAGTGTGATCTGAACCGCTTTTCTTTTTCTAGTCTGACGTTGTAGATTGTAAGCGGTTCAATGGAATAGGGTTTGACCAGCAGAGAGTCGAGCTATTCCAGTGACTTTAAAGGCCACCCTATCAACAACTAAAATAGTATTTGTTTTTGCTGGAAAGGCAAATTTCGATGAAATCAATAAACCTAATAGGTTATTTCAGTAGTTGTTAGGATGACCTTGTGTTTCACCTGAGTTTCATTTCATCAATTGATATGAATGATTGTGCTTACTTTACAAGTGTCACTGTCTCCATCATATGGAAGCTTTGTTCTTGAAGATCATTGAGCTTTTGTGTTAAATCAACTGGTATAATATTTTCTTGCTCATATTGTTTTATAGTTCTCATGTGTGCCTATAAGTTAAGCAGAATTGGAGGAAAAATAGACTGATTAAAAATGGTTATGAATTACTTGTTTAAAAATTATTTGAAACAGTATAGCTTTCTAGCTTTAATCTTTTGTTAATAACTTCTCATCAATAAGATACATTGTCATCATAGTTTGGCAGTTAGTATAATAGAGTGACTTTAAAAGCAATCCTGAAAGTTAAGGGGATGACCAATAAGACTTGCCTATTTTATGAACCGAAGAAACGTTTCTAACAGAAACAGAAACACGTCTGCTTATCTTATTGTTTCTTAAAATGGCTTTTAAATTTACTCATTGTAGTCAGCATTGAGATTATCTGAGACCAGTAATAAGCAGCTGCATGGTGTGATAGTTAGAACTTAAGTTGTCTAGTTCATTTGAAACCTAATAAGTGACTCTAAAGGTCACCTTAGCAAAAGCTTAAGTATCCAATCAGATTTCCCTATTTTGCGAAAATCTGCTCTTCCAGCCGAAATGCAGGGACCTAATTGGTTATTTTGGTTGTTGTTAGGGTGGCCTTTAAAGTCACTCAAATTTAATGATCTTCATCTCCAGTTCCTTCCATACCCAGAACACTTTGGCTCTCACTTTGCGCATTGCTAACATCCACTGACAAATGCTATCCCATATCTATTGTCTTTGTTTGATGTAGTACAGACTAATATAGTATTTAAGTAGGTTAGTCACATGATATGTAGTCCCAAGGTTGTCTGTTTTTGATCCAAATTGAATTGGCGTGTACATAATCGTTAGATAGACAGGAACGTCGTCATATATAGAAAAAAATGGAATGAATACAACTTTCATAAATGTCTGTACTCATATCTTTTCGCTCTAATACACTTCCATGGAGTTGAAAGGGTCTTTTGTAAACGTCGAATACCTATCGTACCGAAGAGATCGGTTATTGCTTTTTACGCCTCAACCAAGTTGTACTTAAACTGGACACAATATTATTTGCTCTGTGACCTTCTCTTGCACAATTACAAGCTCAAAAGTATATGAAACATTGAATGCTATGATAAGTGAATAAAACTAATATAGAATTATGGTCCTCCACCGAAAAAACTCCAGATTCTTCACTATTTATTAAGTGTATCACATTCTATGTACTCGCAGAGTCATTTACTTACATATTTCTATTGTTTTTATCTTTTTCAGACCCCATGCTAGTTGGTTAAACTAGTGCCACGGACACAAGCATTATCGAATTTCGGGAATACATATGCAGTTAGCCCTTGCTTAACCCATATCTCACCTTCATTGATACCCATAAACAAGGTGTATTTGAGACAATGGCGAAAGTAATGTTTCCAGGGTGATTCAAAACTACATCACTAAGTCCTGCAGTTAGAAACTAACCCACTAATGAATTCAAGCCACGATAATGATACACAGTCAAATGCAACTTAGAACCCGCCATCTCTGCCAAACGGCCTAAGTTACCACACCTCACACCATCATACTGAAGTACCAGTCACCAAGCGCAAGACGTTAGAAGTAAAACACTAAGGACGAGAAAGTCGTAGAAAGTCATCGAGAGTACAAGAAGGATGGAAAAATAAAGAGACCCCAAATGACTGTGATTATTGTAGATGCATGTGTAAAATGACCCCAATTCTGCACTGTAATGCATAGAGTATTCAAAAAGCCAATTCGGTTGTCACATCTAAACCACCCGAAAGTCTATATTCCCTTGCAAAGCTCAAACTAACGGTCAACGATTCATCGACTGATGCTGTGCTTCAGTCTGGACATCGCCTATTATTCTCCACTCTGGTCATTCCTCAACTAATGTTCCACAATGAGGCTGACAGTGACTAGGCATGCGTGACACATATCCTAGCCATCTGACTCCATAAAGCCTCACAACCTGGTCAAATAACTCAACTTTTAGCCACGACTCACGCACAACTGCATCACTGACATACTGGAAACACGAAACATAGCCTTTACTACGAAGGCAACTGTGGTCGAACACCCAAATCCTTCAAGTTATCTCTATATCTAATGACCATGTTTCATAGTCAAAGAGTAGAAGAGATTGAAATGCAGTGTAGTACACTCCACTCCTAATAAGCAATCAGATATCACGGTGGCTTCATAAATGGTGTTAGTTGACAAAAGCCAAAGGAGCTTTCTGTATCTGTGCTGAGGTTCCATCGTCACTGACTCACCACAGCTGATCTAATTTCCTAAGTAGGTAAAGTGATCAATCCACTCAGTCACTAAACTCTCTATTGTTGCTAGATGAAGTAGCAACACAGAACAGTCCTGGAACAACAATGTGGATTTGGGTGAGGAGAAACACACTGGAAACATTCTCAGGTTGCTGGTCGATGTGTCCAGCAGACTCTATATCTTGTCGACATCTTCACTTAATAGTACAATTTCATTCGTATACTAAAGATCTACTGATGATTAGTCTTTTGTGAGAAGGTCGATCCCGATGAGGTCACGTGGGGAGAAGGGGACGTCTATAAGTACATGTGGAAAAGGTTAGAATGGAATGGAGTGGATATCCTTGATGGACGCAACTTCATCCTTTCTCTGCTATGTTACCGTTGACTACTGAGTTTTACCCTAGTCTCCATGATCTATCTAAATATCTGCCTGCTATTACTTATTGCCGTTCCCTTTTTCATGCCTTTAGCCTTCTGCGTCAACCACTCCTCACAGTTTTTGCTTCATCTGTTTGCGAGTCTACATTTCATTTGCTTCCGCTCCTCGCTGTAAATGGAGCCTTCATAATTGCGTTTATGTGCATCTGTCAATTCTAAGAAACAGCTGAAGCCGACTAATCGTTTTTTGCTTTCTTTTGAAGATAATTCACAGTCTTTGTCGTTTTTTTACTGCAGACTGGAAATGACCCGAAGATTTTTCAAGATCAGTGACTCTGTCCTGCTGCGATAATTGACTGGCCAGTTTTTCATCATAGGCAGACTTAGTATTCTTATCATCTCACCTACACTTGGGATGGTTATATATCTGTAGTATTTATATGCCGATTTATGTGCTAATAAACGCATAATCGCCGTCTAGACTTCTAGTGGCAAAACATCAGGTCTGGCTGCTTTGCACTGTTTCATCTTTGAAACGATCTCCTAAACTCTGAGAAGAGGCAGTGACCCCGCATCTGCGTTCCATTCATGTTTGGACTGGATGATAGTCCATTTAAGTGAGGCTGTAAGTCAAGGTCTTTAGTTCTGTCTTCTTCCTTGCCAATAGGCATAAGCAAGTCACACGATCTTTCATATCGCTTACATATCCGTTTAGCTGGGCCGGGAACAGTTGGATATCGACTGGTATCCAGTCACGTATGCTTTACGCTGTATGTCTTGGCGTCATAGCTACACCAGCTAGACCATAGAACCATAGAATCTCTGGACACTCGTAAAAGTAATTTCGCAGATTTACCGCATGGTTCAATTGAATAACTGATTTCGGTCTTGCATTTGTGTTGTTCAAATATAGCACACTTCCGTAGCTCTAGATTCCAGAGATTTTGTAAAAGGTGCCTATTGTGCGATTTGGCGTAGTGTTCAGACGTTGAAACCACCAATCTTAAATTGTTAGCGTGATTCAAGCGAACAGTAATGAAAATTTATTGGTTTAGTGACAATACTGACATGAAGGGAAGCTGAGGAAACATTAAGAAGTCTAGCGTTGATATCCCGAAGTAAGGGTAAGGGAAGTTGTTTATGGTTAATTGGATTTAGTATGGTTCTGGAAGTTCACAGACTACCGGTACTTCCTAGCTCCCCACACCATAGGAGTTGTATCTGTAATGTACAGAGAAAAGGAGTCAAATTGTTTGACTTAAGAGCCGGTGATCGAGAGTTTGCAACACTGTACTTTTGTAAGTTTAAGATTTAACCCTCCTTTTCCATGGAGAAGGCAGTATCAGCATGGCATGGTGGTAGTTTGCACGAAACACCAAGTTACTATCAAACTCTGTTCAGCCTACCATATGACTTCATCTTCCAACCCCTATCACAGTATAGCTTTTTTAACGCTATAGTGGTTCAGCTCTTGATCCAACGGACCTATCTGGAATGGTCGAACTTTAAGAAACAAATGTTCCGACTAGCGAAAATCATTGGGTCAATGCGATATTCAAGTCTGACTACAATGTCAAGGTAACAGCTACCAGTTAAGGAAGCATATTCTTAAAAATTTATATATTTACAGTAACTTTTTATAATTCGAAACATGCGAAATTTCAGAACTGCTGATGTGGCAATCAATTATTCCTGGATCCTAGTGGTGTTCAAGCATTTGTTATGGGAAAACACATTACTGTACTTAGCTCATAATTTTAATATCTCAGATGTGGCCTTATAGTGATATCTTTTATCATTCCTGAGCATCATGAGTATGAGCATTGTGATCACATGAAATCTCTTGATGATGAATAAGCCCGTGATAAGCGGTTATTATTAACTATGAAATGCAACTTCTGTGGATCACTAGATATTTGTTCGGTTTGAAACTATGAGAGTTCGTGTTATTAACGCGTTGTAAATATTTCAACATCTGAAATAATTTGCTAATATCTCAATAAAATATAAGTGTTTGATACCTCTGATCATTACAGAAGAATACAATTCTTAAAGTTGATAGTAAAATCAGATAGACGTGAAACAGACCTATAGAAGACTCAGAAACTATCTTGTTGTAAGAAGTAATATGGTTATTAAAGATTACTACTTACTTTATTCCAGTCTAGTAAACTTTGAAATATTGCAATTTCTGTTCTGCGTAAATGAATACCCCCGGCCATACGAGTTGCAACTACAAAAAGTGTTTAAAATGTAAAATAAATTTGATTGTTTGATAGGATGCTTTATGTTACTTTTTATAAAATAGTAGCGTGATTTCACTTATGATATTTGAAACTTTTTCCTAGACGTTTTATCCTGTTTGCTCATAAGAGGGTGACACAGCTTTGGATAATTAATGGTGTGATAATCATATACGTCGTACATATAGCGTTTTCACAAGATGGAATGATGAAGATGGACTAGAATTCTTAATTTGTAATAACCAGAAGGTGATTGTTAGGACTGTTGTGCGAAGAACAAGAATTGTTTTCAGCACTGCATTATGAAACCAATTGAAAGTGTGTACATACGAATAATCAAGCTATCCGACACTTTGAACAAGCTCAGCCGTAACACAATAAGTGTATAGATACACATCCCTAAAAGCAGCTGTATACAAGAGAGATTATCAAGAACATTTTATGAGATATGGCAGAATACTCTGAGATTACTTACATGTTTTGGTTCGATTCCAATGTTCACGTGTTTCATTAATAAGTCGTAGGAACTCTTTGTTGAAGTTTTCAGCTTCAGCTGTCGGTGGTTCAGTTAAGGAGAATACTAAGTTGTTTAGGAATCGGTTAAATGCTTCATCGTCATCTGTAGTTAAACCCTAAAATAAGAATAAAACACAAATTGTATATAACATGCATCCCATATTAGAATACGTGTTGAATACGTCAGTGTATGAATGAGTACTTAATTTTTTTTCACTACAATTATAAGATGTCTGACATATAGTGAAATGATGTTTGCCATTTAAATCAGGTAATATTTAACTAAGATGCTAGTTCAACTTCGAAAATATCTGCTGTCATATATTCCACTTAAAAGGGTCTTGGGTAAATACATTATTAAAAGAAATACTCTGCATTCAAACATCTGTGAGCCCATTAGAGACTATTTTAGGCAAAAAGTGGGTTGCGACTTAGTATTCATGATTATAGTATCAATAAAAAATGAAGGAATTGGTGCGCTATTCCAAGTTGTGGGGGGCGTATCAACTCTAGACGTGCATCGGTCCTTTTGAGATCGCAAAGTTACTTGGTGGTAAAGCACTCCCTACTTTTTGCTCCAAAATGTTCAGCATCATGCTTTGACTTTGTTTAAACTATGTTGATTTTGTTTGTTTGTAAATGAGCTATCATATATCTATTATGAGTGGTCATATGAGGGAGACGCTAATACTTGTTAAGAGGTTTTGTATTGCAATTTACATAGTGTGGTAAGAAGACGGAGATTATTGTGCAATGCATTGTGATAAGTCTGATCACACATTAACCTGACAGGGTATTTTTATATAAAGGATGAAAATAGAGTGGGGTAAGGTAAGGTAAGTGAATTAATACAATACAATATTTAGAAAATATAAGGTAATAAGAAGGAATAATACATTTTCACACCTCCCTTGGCATTAAAATGAGATAAAGATTACCAAGGTAGGTTTAAGGTAAGGACAAACTGTTTTGAATACATAAAAAGGATTTGAACTTCCGTACAGCTAAGGCCTTAATGAACCTAAGTATACGGTCTTGACAGCTCCTATACAATGGTCTAAAGATTGTTTTGGGGTCAGTTCCGTGACCTGTTTCTATAATATGTTTACCTATGGATGATGATGTCTGTCTGCCCCCTGCAATTCAACTTGATGTGTTTATCACAAACTTTTAAAGATAATTTACTGAACTTCAGAAAAATCAAATGGTAAAATTAAAAACCGCTTCAAAATGGCTTTCACTTGTCATCAGTAATTGGTCGAAACTTTTTTCTTGGTGAAGAGTATTTTCAGTATAATAACAACTTTAATTTCCGGCACTGATTTTTAACTAATCAATAATACATGACAAAACAACACAAATGAACTGAGCTTGTGAAAATTGACATTTTCATGTCTTAGTTTTTGTAGATGCAGATAATTTAGAAATATATGCAATAAAATATGATGTGCAAACCAATTATTTCAGAATTGTTAACAGCTCTTCTTTAGAGTTTTCAGCGTCAAGAAGAATGAATGTGTAACCAATATGTTAGCTTCCACAGAAAAAGGAATTCACAGTTGTAATTGACGAAAAAAAGCACAGACACTTTCTGAAGTTCATTTTCTTTAGGCTAGTTAGTTACATAAAGGGTTTCATTAGCCTCGAATGAAATCTGAATGTTTCCATGGTTTCAAAAAATGCTTGCTTGTTTTACTTATTACCAATTTTTATATCTTCAAATTTAAATGGAAATCGGTAGGAAAGCCCAACTGCTACTCCTTACCCTTCATAGTTGTTGAGAATGATACAATAGGGAGTAGAGACAGATTCTTTTCAATTTATTAGCTTAGTAGCAAAATGTTTGACAACGGAGACTGAATGCTAATGTGGTGATACTTTGTAAACTGACAGTTGCTCACGTATCTGTATCGAGTAAATTTCTCTTGGTAGCTAATTTATAATCAACTCATATCGTCATTAATAAGTGAAAAATCATTTGAAACTTATATTAATTTAACTTTGATGGGTAAAGAAGAACAAGACATTACTTTTATTTCTATGGAAGGGTTGAATACAGGAACTCGGCGAAAAGAAAATTTTCCTCGTTGAATTGTCTTTTTTCAATTTTCCCTAGCCTAATAGGACTTCTTCGATGGTTAAATAATTCATTGATGACATTCATAACAGCGGTACTGAAGAGAATTCAGTGAAGTCAAAGAAGAATCATACAATCACTAAATATTCCAGACGCTTCTTGGAAGTGAAAACTGATTAGCCAGAATCTTTGGTCTAGTGTTTTCTATTACTTCTTACCAACAGATAAGTTTATTCTTGTGATTTGAAAATGTTTATAGATGTGTTCATATACGAAAATAAACCCCGATATCTCTTGCTTTCAAAGATAACTTCTTAACTGTTTCACGTTGAAAAGAATTGTAACTAAACAGTAAGTATACTCAGGAATTGTAAAAGAGTAGTTGGTCAGTGTACAGCTTATGGAAAGCAATCAGGTTCGCAACAACCTCAGTAAGCACATTCAGACTTCACTATCAGATCAACCAATGAACAAGCACTTGTCAGGACATTACACCAAGTACCATATAATCAATAATTATTCTAATAATTATCTTAGATTTACTTTATTTTGATTTCTTAGATTAGAGTGTAGGTGAATGATGGAGTGACTATAAAGGCCACCCTAACAACTGCTTAAATAACCAATCACATTTTTGTATTCCTTGAAAGACTGTCTGCCCAGCCAAAATATGACAATTTGGTTGGTTACTTTAGCATTTGTTAAGGTGACTTTTAAAGTCGTCCAAATTTTGACGGATCGCTTAAGTCTACCTTAGTAACAATTGGAAAATCTGCCCTTCCAGCCGAAACGTAGAAACACAGTTGGGTATATGATTCATTTCTAAATTAGCCTATAAAATAACACTAATGTATTACAACCTGAATGTGGTTTCTGCCAAGCCTGGTTTTGAAAAGTTGATGAATTTATTTTTCCTTCTTCAGTTGGATAGGAAGATGTCTTTCTACGGAAAATCAATATCAAGTTTAGCATACAACACATACAGTAGAACAGATTTTAGTTCAAAGGCTTACACCCGAAATCCTTTCATTACTGACTCAGTAAAAATACCCAAAGGATTAAGGCGTATCCTTCAACATGATCAGAATTCAATCACCTATGAGAACGAGAATATTTCATTCATAGTCCCAAGTGAACAAAAAAATAGATTGAGGAAGATAGGGTCAATACATATTCATTTTTGGCAGTTTGAAATTACTGTTAACAAATAGGCTAATGACGCAATCACTACACTAGGAATTCGGTAGATAACATAACCTAGAATATTTTGTAGACGAGATCAGCTTAAATGCGGAGAAAATACCAAAGAAAGGTATACAGAAAGTACTAAATACTTACGTCACTCTCCAAAAAGCGTTGTAGTAGGACTGTGAAAAACTCAAGGCATATTTTCAACTGTTCATCTATTATATAATTCCAGTTATCTAAGATGACTTTATACAGCCTGTAAGGCAAAAGTTAGATATAAGAATTACTGTATGATATAGCTAGTTATGAACAACAAAACAATTTTGTTACTGATATCTAAGTGCATATTCAGAACTGATTTTGGAACAGATATTTCAATGCGCTATAGGAAACGTATTACCTCAAAAAGTTACTCACTTTGAATGCTAGGATGCGTGATCATTGATAAAATTGTCGTGAATTACGAAATCTAGGAGATAAGGATTACTCATTCTTAACGCAGTAGATGGGTAGTAACGTGTTCTTCTTAGGATGTGTTGATCCTGTGCTTGAATCTATATATAAGGGAGTGGTAGTACAATGTGGATTAACTGCAAGCTGGGACGGAGCAGCCGTTCAGTCCATCTTGATTTTAAGTAGCTTACCGGTTGACATCGCCCAATTGTGAAAAGTAGCTTGAAATTCACCAGTAATCCACAAATCAACACACTGAATATTAAAACCAGTCTCTCAAAAATCAGTCTACCAAAAATGCTGAGATGAAAATGGAACTCCATCAGATACATTTTACGGAACTACAGTTTTTCTAAGTAGAATTTTGAGGACTTGAAGTTGAACAGAAAAATATCGAAGACTGATGAAGGCTCATTGGTAGTTACACCTTTTTGCAGACCATTCAAGAGTATTCATATCTATAGCCTACTTTCAGCGAACCGAATGTCTGATTCTTTCAGCCGTGACTATATATTTTTCATATTCCGTCGAAGTCAACTAGTCATTAGATCCTACGTTTACTGAATCAGCTATGTTATTTAGTCGTAACCAAGTGAAAATGATGAATATTTATCCCTTTGTTACTTCCACGATGACCATTTTGTTCCAAGTAATCTGGAGTTTGTTACTTATAAGATCATATAAGTAGTATATAAAACACCGATATCACTGGGAGTAAGAGTTAACATACAAATGGCAGTTCCTGGAGAAAAAAAATAAAAGTAAAAGGAAGAAGAAGAAAGACGAAGAAGTAACAGAAACTCCAGGACTGCACATCACGAATGTAGGATGCAGGCACTATTTGCGTGAACTACATCGCATTTCACTGATAAGTAAAGTGCACAGTAAGTACAGAAGTTAGTCAACAAATGTCTGTTGTATACAACTTATGAGATTATGACAAACATATTAATAATGAATAGTGGCTAGCAATGGAATCATTAATGCATAGTTGAAACACAAGCAATATCGAGGTATCCGCGCAAGAGCCTATATACCAATAGAGACCGATCAATTTGACCCAATCAACGTCAAGACAATACAAGTAGTAACATAACGCCAAACATATAGATTAATTCTAAAATTCCAACTTTATTTGATTTTGTTACTCATAATGGTGTTCGAGTAATAATGTACTTTTGACTGGTCACTTATAACTGCTAGGGTATAGTTATGACTAGTCATCTGTGCTTGGCATTTTATCCAGTAAATAATACCATGTCACGGTGCGCTGTATCAAACAAACACATTTCGTTTACAATTAGATTCTATTACAGTGGGTACTGGGTTTACATTTACGTTATTTCAAATCGTATTTTGCATCAACTTCCTTCACAGGACATACCAGTTATATAAACCAAATATTTTACGAAGCTTAAATGTAGAGAAAATAAATCAAAGTAATTCCTCTCTTTGCCACCTTCACGCATAGAATGCATGAATTTTATGAATATATTTCGACTGAAGTACAGCTTGAGTTTTTTAACTGACGTCATTATCGAATGGACCGTAATCAAAGCAAAGTGAAGAAGCAGTTAACATCAATACACTTTAGTTCACCTGTTGAAACTTAAGTCGATATTTACTCACACTTTTAACCAGTCTCTTGTCAATGACATAAAAATGAATGAAACGAAGTGATCACTTACTTAATGGCTTTCTCTTGGGCTTCCATATCTGGTGATGGTATCCATACACAAACAGATGGTACAAGTGCCTCAACTTTTCCGTCAAGACTTCTAACGTGCCAGTGTAGCTTTGAGGAGGACTGTCCTAGTGGGCTGACATTTTCAGTCAGTGTACTAGTTGTCTGCTCTGAAGGTGAACCATCAGAACTGCTACTTTGACCATGACCAAAATTCCAATATGGCATTGTAGAAATTCTTGGTGATGTGTAGCGTAAATAAGAATTACTATCACTTGATCGATCATCTATTTCCTCTGTCCGTGATCCGCTGTCAGTATCTGTTTCACAAGTATCCATTGCGTCTGACGTTAAGTTAATTGATTCACCAGATTCTGTTATTTCTTCTTCCTTTGGATTAGTATTTGTTCTTAGAATGAACTTTCGTTTACCATTTATGCCACCTGACATATTGTCAATTAGAATAACTCTTTCACCAGCTGATAGTTTCATTTTCGGTGTTTCATAATCGCATAACATGATAGCATTTACAGGCGCTTTGATACGATTTGTTCGTAAATAAATTGGTACAAGCGATTTTGATTGTTCAATTAGTTGTTTTGAACGATTAACCATATAATTCAAATGATCAAATTGACTCTATAAAAAGTAAGATAGATAATTCCAGTATGTTGAGGTGGAAACTTGATTAGAACTGTTACCATGATAATAGCATCTACCTATGGACGTTTGTTAGAATGGTAAATACTATCATTGCAAGGAGATAAATGTTATTTGTAAGTGGAATTTTGGAAGATAAATATGTCGAGTGCTTGTTTGTAGCATGTGGATACCAATGTGTAGATATTTTACTGACATTTGGAAATAGGTCATTAGCTATATATTAATATTTTTTACTTACGCTACAGTATTCTTTGAAGATAAGTCGATCGGTCAGGTCTCTAGACGTAAAAACGTTCCTATTGGTTATTGAGATAAGTATTGTGTACATGACGTTTTGAAGAAACCACGAGGTTTTCGGATAAATTTTGGTGAATGAGTGGATGATAACAATTTCATTCACTATTCTTGCACATAGCGCAAAATGTGACTAAATATGTATGCTTAAATGCTTATTGGATTGGTGGTTTGTGTTGGGTTACTTGATTTCAGGGTTATATTTATTAATCACTGATATCAGTTATTGGAAACCTGAGAGTGCTAGACTTCTACTCCTATCTAGTTTGTGACTTCTTAGTAACGCGCAACTATTGCCCTCCGAGGTATAAACTCCAGGAGTGTCAGGTTTCGTGGTGAGTATGTAACCATCAGGCCATTACGTTGGAATCCACTAGTCTAAACATCCTGTTTCTGTCAGTTTGAGATATAGTGCAACCACCATTCAATGCAGTCAGAGAGTATATGTTCTGACATTCAACTCGGTTGACCCTGCATGTCAAGGCTTCTCCTTAGTTATTGCTAAATTACTTAAATTGGACGAGTGTCTTAATACATCATAGTTATTTACGTTTCTAACGTATAAGACAAAGGATTTCAACCAATCTATTATTATTTTCGACGATCAGGTCATTAGTTACTTGTTCCGTTGATCTTTGTTATATCGTGATCCTGCTTTTCTAACAATTTTTGGTCAACTGATTTTATATTCAGTACCTCATCTGAAAGTCATCTATAGATTAATCTAGACTGAAAAAATGTTTCAACCACATTAGCCTACAATCTACTACATCTGACTGTGGTAATTTCGTACACTCAAGGTCATGGTAAGCCTCGCCTGGTTAACTAGTTCACTAGTTACTAGCCGGTCCTAAGCCCGGGTAAAGAGGGAAGGTTGGTCATAGGGCTAGCAACCCCGTAAAACAAATCTAACCGCTAAAGAAACTTCAAAGCACAAACGATGTAAAAAAAATAATAACAAAATTATTCCTCGCTGGAATCGGAGAGGCGAAATGACGTCAGTTGGTGAAAGCCTTCGGGAAGCCAATTGGCCGATGTGTCTTCTCTCGATGAAAGCGAAAGTAAACGTGGGGACATGGAATGTCCGCACGATGTTTGAACCCAGCAAGGCAGCCCAGATTGCAAACGAGATAAGGTATAGCATAGAAGTGCTTGGAAACTGCGAGGAATCTGCAGATGGGATACAAGTGGACTCTCCAAACTGTCAACTGGAGAATCAGTAATCTACTCCGGTCACCCAGACGACAACCACGAGTACACTGAGGGAGTGGCTATCATGATGTCCCCAACAGCATCGAAGGTTCTCATGCAGTGGGAACCAATCTCCTCCAGGATCATGACAGCAAGATGGATTCAACTCAGAAGGAAAGAAAGTCACAATCATACAATGCTATGCACCTACAAAAATGCAGATGAAGAGAAGAAGGAGGAATCCTACAGACAACTTCAATCAACACTGGAGAAGACCTCAGTTGGCGATATCAAAATCCATTTTAATGGGCAACATGAATGCCAAACTGGGAGCAGACAACACAGGAAGAGAAGCGCTCGGTGAGGTGATGGACGAGAATGGAGAATTGTTTGCAGAATTCTGTGCATTCAACGATTCGGTGATTGGAGGCAGTGTGTTCAAGCACAAGGATATCCACAAAGCGACATGGATTTCACCAGCTGGACACACTAAAAATCAAATCGACTTTATCTCAATCTCAAGAAAATGGAGATGCAGTCTACTTGACACAAGGTCAAGAGAGGAGCAGATGTAGGTTCACACCACTCACAACACTATCTAGTGCAAAGAACCTTCCAAATCAAGTTGAAAGCCTTCAAGGAGGCTGGTGATAGACCACAGTTCAAGTACAACACTCGGAAACTGAAGGATGAAACTACAAAGGAGATCTTCACTTCAGCCATCAAGACAAAATGGGAGATATCGAGGAACATCCCTGAAGAAACCTGTATGGAAGAACACTGGAAGTCTTTGAAAGCTATGTGGAAAGAAACCTGCACCGCCTTATTAGGAAGGAAGAAGAAAGAAGATGAGGAATGGATCTAAATGGACACATGGAAGCTGATAGAGCAGAGAAAGGAGGGTGGTGAAGCAGAATATGAACCAGTGCAAGGATGCTCAACGACAAGAGGAACTGAGCACAATGTACAAAACACTACACTGGACAAAGAAGTGAAGAAGAGTGCACGGAAAGACAAAAGACACTTCTACGAAACACTGGCAAGTGAAGCAGAACAGGCTGCCGGCTGGTAGGAGTGACCTGACAACATTGTATCAAGTAACCAGGTTGCTATCTGCAAGGAGAGAGATCAACGCAGACGAAACCAATAGAAGATGAAGAAGGAAATTTAACTATGAAAGAAGAGAAACAAAGAAAACAATGGGTTGACCACTACAAGAAGCTCTTGAATCGACCACCATTTGCACTTCGTACAGAAATACCACCTGCAGCCGCTGAACTACAAGTGAACATAAATCCTCCAACAAAAATGGAAGTCCTGAACGCCATAAAGCTACTGAAATGCGGGAAACCAGCAGGACCAGATGGGATCCTGCCAGTAGCACTGAGAACAGATGCAGAGACAACAGCGGACATGCTCACACCACACCACTATTGCAGCAGGTGTGGAAGGAAAAGAAGGTACCTGGCCATTGATTAGAAGGAGGGTTACCTTGTCAAACTCCCCAAGAAGAATTAGCTACCTAATTCTTAGCAAGAACTGGCGCGGAATCACTCTGCATCCCCTTCCACCCAGAGCAAGCCGTATCATCCTGGAGAGGCTAAGGGATGCGCCGGATTCAAAACTACGACCGGAACAGGCTGGCTGGATTCAGGAAGTACAAATTATGTGCAGACCAAATTGCAACGCTACACAACGCATCATCATAGAACAGAGTATAGAATGGCAGTCAACTCTACAGCTCAACTTCATCGACTTTGAGAAGGCCTTTGACAGCGTCGACCGAGAGGTAATTTGGAAACTTCTTCAATGCTATCAAATACCGCAAACCTTAATCAATCTCATTCAACAACTCTATGAAGACGCCACATGCCAAGTAGTTCACAATGGGAAGCTCAGTGATGCTTTTGAAGTGAAGACAGGAGTGAAACAAGGCTGTCTACTATCACCCATGATATTCTTGATTGTGGTTGACTAGATCATGCAATAAGCAGTGGGGAGCGAGAAGAGGGGGATACGCTGGTTGGACTGCAGAAAAGAACCTAGAAGATTTGGATTTCGCCAATGATGACTTCTGCCTGATGATGCCTGAAGATCTACAGGCGAAAACTAACAAGTTGTCAGAAGAGGCAGGGCAGGGCAGCGAGGATGGGACTTCAAGTGAATATAGAGAAGACAGAGGTGATGAAGATACCCAACCAACACCTACAACAACAACAACAACAAACTCCAATCACCATCAACGGGAGAAACTTAAAGGAAGTAGCCTCCTTCATCTATCTAGGAAGCACTGTTTCAACTACAGGCGGCACAGGCACAGACGAGGATGTTAAAGTCAGAATCGGAAAAGCAATGCAGGTGTTCATTAGCCTGAAACGAGTGTGGAGATCTTCTGCACTCAGCATGTGGAACAAGATCTGGATTTTCAACACCAGCGTCAAGCCAGTGCTTCTGTATGGCTCAGAGACTTGGCGCGTTACAAAAGGGATTTCCAATAAACTACAGACGTTCATCAACAACTGCTTACGCTGGGTCGTTACTGAAGATCAGATGGATTGCCAGAATAATGAGAATAAGCAACAAGGAACTCTGGGAACGAACCAACCAAGAACCTATCGCTCAACGTATAAGTAGAAGGAAGTGGAAATGGATTGGGCATACACTGAGAAGGCCGACTGGGGAAATCACGCGTCAGGCCAGTTGCTTGAGTGGAATCCCCATGGGAAGCGACGAGTCGGACGTCCGAGGTGAGGGTGACATGGAGGAGATCGTGCTAAGAGGAAATGAGAGGTTGTGGGCTTTCGTGGAGCCAGGTTCAAAAGATCTCAGAGAACAGAGTTCACTGGAGACGTGCTACTGAAGCCCTATGTTCCATTAGGAACCCAAGGGACCAATAATAATAATAATAGTAAGGGTCATGGTAATATAATAAGCTCATTTTGTCAAAAACCGCTGCTAAAATCTCAAAAAGCTGTAAAATATGAATTGGCCACTGAGTTAGGCGAACGAAAACGAGTTCATTTGTCTACAGTTTGACTTATTTCGACTGATAGAGGAGATGCCAGGACGTGTCACAGCTGGGAACGGAAAGCCTATAAAATCAAACTCTACACACTAACATTGAGTGGCATTTTTTAAGAAAGATAGAGTGCTCCGCCAAGACTAATCTTCAGCGATGCCCCGGCTAACAATAGAGAGTGAAGTGGTTTAGCATGTTGACCACTTCACTTAATTGTGAAGTGGAATCAGCTCCAGTGGGTCAGTGACCGAAGGGGTCTTTGAATGCATACAAAAGTTTCGACTGGGTTTCAGCAAATTGCACCATTTGTGATGCCACCACGATATCCAATCTCCCGCTAAAGGTTGAGTTTACTGCTCTACAGTCTGTTCTGTTCTACTATGGGATTGAGCAGCGTGGCTATTAAAAGTAGAGAATATGAGAAGGCTTCATGTGTTCGACTACCATTGAGTTCATAGTACAGACTGCTTTA